GGGGAAGGCAAACGTGGTAGCAGACGCCCTAAGCCGAAAGGTGAGGGGTGAGTCAGTCTGTTCTATCACCGACCAGCGCCAGCTTATCAAAGAGTTTTCCCGGATGCAGATTGAGGTCGTCGACTCACTTCCTAAGGAGATTTCAGGGAGTGTTAGCTCGATCCGAGTTCAGCCCATGCTGAGAGATAGAATCCGGCGGGAGCAATCCTGCGATCAGTTCATTTGCACTTTAGAAGCGAAGGTTCACACCGGAGGCATAGAGGGCTTTTACCGAGGCACAGATGGAGCCTTGCAGTTCAGAGGCCGCATTGTCGTGCCGAAAGTCGGGACCTTACGCAAGGAGATCCTGACTGAGGCCCACAGTGCGCCATATTAGCCCACCCTGGGAGTACCAAGATGTACCACGACCTCAGAAGGTCGTTCTGGTGGCGAGGATTGAAGAGAGACGTAGCAGATTTTGTGAGGAAGTGTTTTGTCTGCCAGCAAGTTAAGGCCGAACACAAGAGTCCCATAGGTCTGCTACAGCCACTTGGGATTCCCAGTTGGAAGTGGGAAGAGGTTACCATGGACATCATCATGGGACTACCTAAGTCGTCCGAGCATCACGACGTGATTTGGGTAGTGGTAGACAGGCTGACGAAAGTCGTACACTTTATGCCAGTGACGATGACCATGTCGATGGATCAGTTAGCCGAGATATATACCCGTGGTGTTATCCGACTCCACGGAGTGCCCGTTACGATCATATCCGATCGAGATCCCAGATTCACCAGCCGATTCTGGGAGAGTTTGCATGAGGCAATGGGCACCCAGTTAAAGTTCAGTTCGGGTTACCATCCAGAGACGGACGGCCAGTCCGAGAAGACGACCAAACGCTCGAGGATATGCTCCGAGCGTTGATTCTGGACAGAGGTGCTAAGTGGGAGAAGTGGCTGCCACTAGTTGAATTCGCCTATAACAACAGTTATCAGGCGTCTATTCAGATGACTCCCTACGAAGCATTTTATGGCCGCAAGTGTCGGTCGCCCCTTTTATTGGGATGACGTCGGAGAGCGACGAGTACTCGGTCCGAAGTTGATCGAGGAGACAGTTGAGTAGGTAGCCTAGATTAGAGAGAGGCTCAAGACCGCCCAGAGTCGGCAAAAGTCCTCAGCCGACAAGCATAGACGAGAGATGCATTTTGAGCCTGGAGATCATGTCTTTCTGAAAGTTCAACCAATGAGAGGTGTCGTTCGCTTTGGGAAGAGAGGGAAGTTGCATCCTCGCTACATAGGCCCGTTCAAGAATCTCGAGCGAGTGGGCGAAGTTGCCTATCGAGTAGCTCTGCCTCCCGAGTTGGCTGGCGTGCATAACGTGTTCCACGTTTCGATGTTACGCTCATATGTGTGCGATCCCGAGCATGTGCTTCAGCACAGCGAGATTCAGCTTCAGCCAGATTTGACTTACGAGGAGCATCCAGTAGCAGTTCTGGACCGAAATGTTCTTCGGCTCAGGAATCGAGATGTTCCCCTCGTTCGTATCAGATGGAATCGTCACGCAGATTCAGATGCCACTTGGGAGCGCGAGACAGACATTAGAGCCTGTTTCCCAGATTTTCAGTTCTGATTTGTATTTAGTTGTATGTAATTCCCAGTTTAGTATTTCCGAGGACGGAAATATTTTAAGGGGGATAGATTGTAATAGCCAATTCTGTATTAAAAAAATGACAGTTTTTAGTTCCAAGTTGAACTGTTTCTTTTTATTAATACTGCTCGTCTTGAGTTCCGAGCCCAGTTATCAGCTATTCAATCTCAGTTATTAATTCCGGTCCATTTATTTTAGCAATGGATTTTTATTCAGTCGGAATTAATTATCCAAGTTGGCGAACAATCGAAACCGAGTATGTTTCGATATATCGACCAAGTTAAGCCATGTCCGGAACCGAGTCATTTGGTCACGATATCGCGCCTAGCCAATTATCGAGCCCTAATAGTTCCTGAGTATTGTTCGAGCCCTAGCCGTGCTCATACCTTACTTAGAATATTTTCTAAGTATGAGATCATTTTATCGAGCCTAAGTAAGAGTCACTCGGTCAAAAGAAGCCACGCACCGAGCTCGTGCTAAGGTTCAAGTCCTCGCGTCCAAGGCCGCGCGCCTCACCGAGTTCGAGTGCCTAAGTCATGGCCGAACACTTATGGGATTTTTCTAAGTGTTGTGAGCCTCATTTCAGCCCTTAAGCTCGGCCCAAGTCAATTAGCACGCGCAGCCCAAGTAGTCCCCTGCCCAGCAGGCCTCTCGCGCCCAGGCCCAGCGCGACAGCCCACCTTTTTTAGCCCAATTCTTGAAGTTTCGGCCCACTTTCCACAAGACCCAAATGCCATGGTTATTAAGGACTTAATGAGGATTAATTTGAGCTAAAATGGCGCTAAGAAAGTATTGAGAATAATCAATAGTTCTTAGCCTAAGTTAGTGGAGTGCACATGTGATTATTTTAATCTAATGTGTAAGGGATTGTCTCCCACTCATGACCAGACCTGACCTGACTTATTCCCTCAGCATTTGTGCCCTGAGAAGCTCTCCAAAAACTGTGCAAGATGCTGCCCATCAGCTCCCAAGTTCCTATGTGCATGTGGAGTGGGAAAATGCACTCATTTTGGTCTCCCACCATCCCACCTAGCTAACTCCGTCCCTCAGCCTATATAAAGGTCAATCTCCAGCCCTTTTGCAGCTCTTAGACTCATAAACACTCGGACATATTGAGAGAAATCAAAGGGAAAGTCGAACTCAACTCACCTTGGCCGTCCACACGCGCGCGAGCCTGGGAAAGGGAGCCACCGAGGTCCAGCCACTTGCAGCCATTTTCTCTCGAGGCTTAGCACTTTCTAAGTGTTTCTTAGATTTTTTTAAGTCTTTTGAGACCATCAAAGCTCAGCATTTTAGCCCCAAAGTCGAGGCCAAGTCCTAAGGGCCGCGAGTTAGCCCGTGTAGTAGCCTTAGCACCATTTCGTTCTTGGTGAAAGGTAAACTCGTGTTTATCATTTTTCCTAGCTTAATCATGATAAAATAGGAATTATCATATTGAAAAATGATGCCATGCATGTTCATAATACGAAGTTTTGAACTTTTGAAGTTTAGTCCCTTAAATTCGAATTTTATGATGCATGCATGAGTTGGCCGAGATTAGTAGCTTGAAAATCCTCAAAAATCATGAGTATGACAGTGTTAAAAGATTAGCATGCTTTGAGTTCATATGTTCGGTCATGTTGCTTAGTGAAATTGAGCTATTTTTACCCCCGAACCAAGTCTATGTGCATGCAAGTATTTAACCAATGTCCTAGCCTCTATAGCATTGATTATTGATATAGATCATTCGGCCCTAAGTCAATGTATATGTTGTGCATTTTCATTTCGGTGACCTAGTGTGGCCTCGAGCCGTATAGGCTCTATAGGCCCACCTTATTATCCACCCGAGGTCTTTCAATGACTTTTGACATTTTTAAGTGTATTATGTCATATTATGTTGGGTTGGTTCACCAGTCGTGCGTGCCGTGCCTGTGCCGCGTCGCATGGACCTCGGGTCGTGCCAGCAGTGCACCCGAGTGTTCAGTGCCGCACCTTGGTGAACCCGAGCCGTGTTCAGAGGCCTCGGGACGTGCCCAGCAGCACACCAGAGCAGTTAGTTGGCCCGGGATGTGCCCAGCAGCACGCCCGCGTGCCCAGTGTCGCCCGGCAGCGCCCTAACAGCCTTAGCCGCGCCTGAGCTGCGCGAGAAGTGTCTGACCGCGTCAGTCCTCGCGCCAGCCACACTCGGGTCGTGCCAGCCGCACGCCCAGTGCCCAGTCAGCCCGGGTACGCGTCAGCCCCGCGTCCCTCGTGTTCGGTCGTGCCCAGCAGCGCGCCAACACTTCCAGTGACCCTCGGCTGTGCCCAGTAGCACCCGAGTGGCACCAGTCGCGCCCATGCTCGTGCCAGCAGCGCACCAGAGAACCCAGCCACCCTTAGCCGTGCCCAGCAGCACCTAGTGGCACCAGTCGTGCCAGGGCCCGTGCCAGCTGCACCGCCCGCGCCCAGCAGCGCCTAGTACCCAGGCCCGGTCGCACCCAGCTCGTGCCTAGCGCCGTTGTAACGCCTTGTTCGTTTATTAGAATTTTCTTAATATTTTATTATTATTACTTGAATTAATTTTCTATATTGTATTACTGCTCGACTTGTGTAATCTTGATTAATTTAAAATGTGAATTAAATAGATATCGTCGTCTATTTAATTTGTTAAATAATTTACCGATCCAAAATTTAGATTAAGGGGATGTCCTTGTCTTCTTAATTACTCTTATTGCATTATTGTTTTTATTTATTTGTCCCAAGTGTTTAATTGTGTATGTGCTAAGAGTTATTATTATTGTTATTAGTATATTATTATTTTTAAGTGAATTATGTGTTCATTTTATTTCGGCCTAATCATGATCCAAAACACGAGCCCATTTGAACACCTCAAAAACCGGCCCAAGTCACCATAAGAAATGGCCCAAACATTCTTCTTTTCAGCCCCTATCTCAGTCTCTCTCTCCCCTCTCTCCCAGCCGAGCCGTCGAGAAGCCCTCAACCTCCAACCGTCTCCTTCTTTCTCGGCAGCTCTCCCTCACGTTGCCAGCCCTAATTCCTCTCCATTTAAGGAATTGAGACACCAGCCGCCTCTCATCATTTTCGATTTTGTTCCCAAATCCAGTAATATACTCGGCAAATCAAGCCTATCGACGAGTCGAGCACCATAGCCCGACGGCGAGAAGACCAGCGCTCGCCGGCGACCACGAGCCATTCATTCACGGCGATCCGCGAATGAGAATCCGAGATGAAGCAGCTTCTGGCGAGGCGAGGTGAGCAACCCTGCTCGGCGGACAAGAGAAGACTGAGAGTAGCGATTCATGGCTGAGCAATTCCGAGAAGAAGCCCTATTTTCCGATGAGATTTCTCAGCGGCGAGGCAGGCCACCAGATTTTCGGCGAGAAGAAGAGCGACGACCCTCTTCCTCTGTTTGTGAGCCTTTCGCCGGCGTACTGTGTGTGCGACCAATTAGCAATCTCCAGCAGGACGAGTGCCTCCAGCGGCGAGGATGAGACACCAGCGGCGAGGTCGAACCCATTTCCGGCGAGGGCCGACACACAGCCGAGAAGTCCTCGAGAGCCCGTTTCTGTCCGTTCAGCAGCAGCCACGCATCGTCGAGAGGTCGCTCAGTCCGAACAGACGAGCAGCAATCGGCCCTTCCGATTCCTTTCCGACGGGCAGCGGTGGTCCTTGTTCAGACGAGTTGTGGTCGTTAGTGGTAGCCGGAGTCACGGCAGCGGTAGCCCTTTCGGTCCCGTGCAAGAATAGAGGCAGCCATTCGAGGCTTGATCGAGCAGCCGGAGACCTCGTATCAACGGCAAATAGGCTTCTTTTTAGCCAACAAAGATGGCCCATTCCAACGGGTTTCGCCATCGACTTCGAGCAGCCCCTAAGGTGACGCCAAGGCCACTAAATTACCAGTTCTGATCCCTCTTGTGCGTGTAGTATCCGAAAGAGAGGTGAACCCCATTTTCCCTCTATAAATTCTTGCAAACTGGATCCTGTGGTGCTCTATGTGATAATTGGGCAAGAGATATTATATGTGTGTTTAAGTGGTGAATTAGGATATTGTGGAAACTGTGGATATCATGTTAAATTAGAAGGTAGTTGTGTTAAGTTGTGGATTATTGTTGAACTGAGAATATTTTGTTGATATGTGAATATTCAGATCCTTGGATTTTGAGTTATGTTTGTGAGATTTATTGAGAATAAAACTTGTAAGTTTAATAAGTGGAAATGAAGGCATGATATGTTGAGATTTTGGTTTATTATGTTGCTGTTTGAACTGAACCTTTTAGCATTCTGATGGCCGAAATCTTATGTTGTTATGTGCTGAATTTCGGTTTGTAAAACATGATTTTATTCGGTTAAACTTTGCGTAAGGTGAAGAGAATGGTTGAGGTGTGTATCTGCCTTGGTTAATGGTTATCTTTATCATGTTTTAAGGCTGAGGGTGTTAGATTCCATGCTGATTTTCGTGTTGATAGTATGTTTAAATCTTAGTTTTGGAAAGCATGCTTAGTTGATAAATTGAAGGAAAAAGAGGCGCTATTTATTTGAATTATAATGAGTCGACTTGTGCTGAGGTTTTCGTGTGTAGTTAGGCTGAAAAATGTGTGGTTCCATGCAGAAATTTTGCTTAATTTCAGTTTTCAAAAGAGAGAAAAGGCATGAGTATACATGTTGTTTTTTTTGGGAAATATATGATTTATGGCATTGTTTAGAAAATTGTTGGATTATTAAGCGTTAGTATTTCGAAATTCTTTATGCTAAAAGTATGTAATCAAAATGCTATTATTTGCTGCAATCTGAGTTTATAGGATGCTTAGATTTTTTTTATATATTTATTTATTTATGGAAAGGAAAGAGAAGCATGTATATGTGATTAATTTGCCTTGGTTGTTCTGATACTTGGAGGTTGTTGCTATATTCATACTATGTGCTGATGATGTGCAAAATTTATGTTTTGTTTTGAGGCCTTGATGAGATGCTTGAATTTTAATTTCAATTTTGAGAGTGACTCTGAAGCATGATTTAGTCTTGTCTTGAGATGATTTTTCTAAGTCCTTTTATTGGTTTATATGCTAAGTACATGCTTAAGTGGTAGAAGTATGGGAGCTTTAATTTCAGTTAATATGCATGTTTTAACTTGGTTGGAAAATGAGGAGAATTAAGGCTGTTTGGTTTAATTTGATACTTGAGATTTATATTGAGGTGAATGAATCGAGGAAATTTTTGTGTTAATTGGAACCTTGTTGTGTGCTAAGTGATAAATCCGGATCTTAAGTTTGTGAATGAACTAGCGTGACTAATTACGATATTTGGTATATTTCCAGAGTGGTGAGATAGTTTGTTGATGGAGGTTCCTGAGGAGTCAAGCCCTCGAACCTACCATGACCATTTGCATAATTCTCTTTTCCGGTCGCCAGGTGGGTTTTATTTGAAATTGCTATGCCTTAATTAATTGTTTATTTTTGTGGTATGGTCAATGTATGCATGTGGACCATGTAGCCTTCGATGTGAGCTATATTGGCCGTCGAACGGTTATTCCCGTAGCTATAGAACGTACCTTCGGGTAGTCTCCTTTATTATTGTTGGCAGTCAGGGCGTGAGCCTTGGCTGGTGATCCTCGTATGTAAGGCCAAGACGTAAGGTTTTGCATTCGGGGTGGATTATTGCTCCTGCTGGCCGGACACTCGTTGTAAGGCCTTAGATAAGGCGTTCGGTATATAGTTCGGCAGTAGTCTATTGCTATAGGTGTGCACATGAGACTCATTATTGATTATGGATAGGAGATGGGACGGTTATTGATTCGTATACATGCTGCGACCATACTTAAATTGTTTTCAAGATTATTGATATTAACTATTGCATAGCGGTGAGCACCTCGACTTTCCTATTGTGCTCATCCCCACCTGCTCTTTATGGATGCAGGTTAGTGTTGTGGGCACGGCGGAGGGATGCGAGTGGTGGTCTTAATAATTGATATTTCTTCCGCCTAGAACTGAATATTGCTATTACTGCTTTCTTTATTATTGATTACTGGATTATTGATAGGGAGTGTGCTCCCTAGGATGATTTGATTATTGGATTGCGAAATTTAGTATTGATGATTGTTTAAGTATTGGTGAATGATTGAGTATTGAAAATTTGGTTAAGTATTGATAAACCGTTTGAAAAATGAGTAATGCCTCAAGTGTTTATTGAAATAAATTTGAAAAATTTATTCTGGTTTTCGGCAATTAAAAGTGGGGCGTTACAGTTTGGTATCAGAGCCAGTCTGCGTTTCTGTAGACTGGTATGTGTGAATAATGTGAAATCTGTGAAATACTAGCATACTATGATGTAGTATATGACCACTCGCTTCCGTCGTGCCTCGCCAACTCAGGTATGAGTTTCTTAAGAAATGTTGAATTGACTATGAGTTACCTGATTTACGAGATAATATGATTAGATGTAAACTAGGGCTTAGAAATTTATCCTCCTACTTTTAAATGTTCTGGAACTCTAGATGAGTGGCAAACCTTAGTTGTATGAACTTGAACTCTAGGATATAGAGTTAAATTCTTACTTGAGATTTTGTTTGTTTAGAAATTTAATATGGTGTTATCGAGCTGAGTTCTGTGTATAATAGTCCTCTTGATGTATTTTGGTGTCTTCGGAAGAGGACCATTTGCGAGCCACCTCAAAAGGAGAAGGCTTAAACGAAGGGAGCAGACAACCGAATAAGTCCCAAGTGTGGGATATTCGTAGGTCTGTAACCATGGTTGTTAAGACCATTAAATGTGTATTCGACCCCCAGCCGAGTGCGAGCTGGAGTAGAATCTGGGTGCCTTGTGCATACTTAATGCCCGACCCCGAGGGATGATGGGGAAACTTAATGCGTAACACTGTCGCGGCTCTCGAGTGTGGCTAGGCCTCGAGAAAGATGATAGTGACCTATTCATTTGCGAAATTCTCTTCCATATTTTGTGCCGCGAGCGATTCCCAGTGACAACGGGACTTACCAGGAACAACTTGAACCAATGATGAAAACAGTGAACCGTGGAATCGTGAAGGCGAAGCAGTCGTACTTCCTTCCTTAAAATCTTGTCTCCTTGTATACTCTTTCAAACCTCTTTCCCATTCACATGGCAAACAATTTTGAAGTGTGATTGAGGTTTCTTTTTGTTAACCAAATTTCGTAATTTGAAGATTCCGCTTGATCTTCCCCTACTTTTGATTCGTTGTGTAAACTATTTGAGCTTCCCAACTTTAAAACTCGCTTCTCTTGAAGTTTATCTAATTTTGGTTTATCTTATGTTGGGAGTTGACTTTGTTTTGAAAAATCTCTTCTCAAGTGAGATTAAGCATCTCTTTGTTTTTGCTTTTCTTTATTCGTTTGCGAAGTATGAAAGTTTCGTTCGAATGCCATCGCTAAAATATCACGAAGACTCGTGGGCAAAATTTTTCTATCGCCACTTTTGTGAATAACATAACCTCGAGGGGAACAATAATTTTCACGCTCGACATCGAGATAAACACACAGGAACTGAAGCTAGCACAATTCGGTTCGATCAGAAGATGGTATTTTTCCACCTTAAAGGATTATGCAGAAATCTTTTAAGGAGGATAGTCGAGTCTGGAGCAAGCACATCGCATAGGGCGGACCCGTCCTTATTCTAAAATTTTGTTCATCGTGAAATTTTTGTTCTTTTCCTCCTTTCGGAATTCCGAGAGGAACTTCGCGTTCAAATTCCAAAGTGTGAAGATTGAGAAGTGAGTTACGGTCGTTTAGGACTGCTGACACGTTTAGCTACCCGATGAAGAGCTGACGTGTCAGCCGACGCTGTTAGTCGGAAGAGCCAAGGTGAGCTATCTATCTAATGTCTTGGTAGAAGCCGCTGACTTATAGAGAGAATCGCCATGAGAGTTCTTTTGAGATTTCGCATGTCATTAGATCTGTGGCGTATTGCGTTTTGTTGTTTTAGAAAGTTGGTGGACTTAGAACTCGAACTTGTGCCTTGCTATTTTTGAGACCTCTTGAAACTTTGAAATTTGTGAAACACATGATACATAAATTGTTTTGTTGATCCCAAAATTTTTGAAAATTTGGTAAAACCATTCCTTTTTGGTAGTCTTGAATTGTAACTTCTTGTGAAAACCTGGACCAAACGCCGACCCTGACTGGGTGTAGCCACGCGAAGTGGTGGCCGAGCACGCACGACCATGCTGAGAGATGGGAGGCTTGCGCGCGGCCGACCGTTGACTCACATGCGAACTGCAGTCGCCATCACCGAACGCACAAACTCCCCATGGCCAGCATGTGCGGCCAAGCCTCGACCTTACAGTTGGTCTCCGAGTAGGTGGGTACGCACGCGTCCCAGCGCCCCGCTTATGCAGCGCCAGCGAGCGTGCCGCCTCTTGGGTGACAATACCCTAACCCCGAATCTTCGATTCAATTCGTTGACCGACCAGTTTTTGCTGAGCTATTTATGTTACCCCGAACCTTGAACCGCGAGCCCCAAGTTCCACTAAAATGTGTATAAATCCTTAATCGATGATTTTTGATTAAGGAGTGTAGTCGATGAGTCCCTATGCTTTACTTGAGAGTTTCTCGAGTCGGCAAATTGGGAATGTCGTGTTGGTTTGGGTCAAGCCCTATGTTTGTGCATAATGGTTACCTTCGACTCGTGGAGTCGATATCATGAGAGTATGAGTATGATGGTGTCGTGTTGTATTTAGTGGTACCGTGTTGTGGTCTCGGATGGAGACGCACGGTCTGTGATGAAATCATGAGCAAGGTATCAGTGTGACCCGGACAAGAGACTGAAACTGGCGTCACGTGTCCACCTGGATGGTGAGGTAGTCGGAGTACGCTGACAATACACCGAACGACCTGTTGAGGTCTTGTGTGCTGTTAGGTACGAAGCAAGTCGTTGATATTCATGAGTATAGGCCAAGCCGGACTGAGTCCCTTGCAAGAGGATGTGCGCCTGAGCTCGGGTAGGATTGATCACCCTCCCCTGCAAGAAGGTAAACATATGAGCATAGGGCGAGTCGGATTGAGTCCTATGTGTGAGTGTACGCTTTTCTGAGATTAGGGCGATAAGACTCGGACGAGCGTGGTCGAGTTTCGGTTGGGATACTCGGGCCCCATGATTGGGGATTCTCGTTTAGGTCTGTCGTTTCCCTTGGATGCGTGCTCTTTAGTATTTCCGAGGGCGGAAATCTTTTAAGGAGGATAGATTGTAACGCCCCGTTCGTTTATTAGAATTTTCTCAATATTTTATTATTATTATTTGAATTAATTGTCTATATTGTATTACTGCTCGACTTGTGTAATCTTGAATAATTTAAAATTCGAATTAAATAGATATCATCGTCTATTTAATTTGTTAAATAATTTACCGATCCAAAATTTAGATTAAGGGGATGTCCTAGTCTTCTTAATTACTCTTATTGCATTATTGTTTTTATTTATTTGTCCCAAGTAGTTAATTGTGTATGTGCTAAGAGTTATTATTATTGTTATTAGTATTATTATTTTTAAGTGAATTATGTGTTCATTTTATTTTAGCCTAATCATGATCCAAAACACGAGCCCATTTGAACACCTCAAAAACCGGCCCAAGTCACCATAAGAAATGGCCCAAACATTCTTCTTTTCAGCCCCTATCTCAGTCTCTCTCTTCCCTCTCTCCCAGCCGAGCCGTCGAGAAGCCCTCAGCCTCCAACCGTCTCCTTCTTTCTCGGCAGCTCTCCCTCACGTTGCCAGCCCTAATTCCTCTCCATTTAAGGAATTGAGACACCAGCCGCCTCTCATCATTTTCGATTTCGTTCCCAAATCCAGTAATCTACTCGGCAAATCATGCCTATCGACGAGTCGAGCACCATAGCCCGACGGTGAGAAGACCAGCGCTCGCGGCGACCACGAGCCATTCATTCACGGCGATCCGCGAATGAGAATCCGAGATGAAGCAGCATCTGGCGAGGCGAGGTGAGCAACCCTGCTCGGCGGACAAGAGAAGACTGAGAGTAGCGATTCATGGCTGAGCAATTCCGAGAAGAAGCCCTATTTTTCGATGAGATTTCTCAGCGGCGAGGCAGGCCACCAGATTTTCGGCGAGAAGAAGAGCGACGACCCTCTTCCTCTGTTTGTGAGCCTTTCGCCGGCGTACTGTGTCTGCGACCAATTAGCAATCTCCGGCAGGACGAGTGCCTCCAGCGGCGAGGACGAGCCACCAGCGGCGAGGTCGAACCCATTTCCGGCGAGGGCCGACACACAGCCGAGAAGTCCTCGAGAGCCTGTTTCCGTCCGTTCAGCAGCAGCCACGCATCGTCGAGAGGTCGCTCAGTCCGAACAAACGAGCAGCAATCGGCCCTTCCGATTTCTTTCCGACGGGCAGCGGTGGTCCTTGTTCAGACGAGTTGCAGTCGTTAGTGGTAGCCGGAGTCACGGCAGCGGTAGCCCTTTCGGGCCCGTGCAAGAATAGAGGCAGCCATTCGAGGCTTGATCGAGCAGCCGGAGACCTCGTATCAGCGGCAAATAGGCTTCTTTTCAGCCAACAGAGATGGCCCATTCCAACGGGTTTCGCCATCGACTTCGAGCAGTCCCCTAAAGTGACGCCAAGGCCACTAAATTTCCAGTTCTGATCCCTCTTGTGCGTGTAGTATCCGAAAGAGAGGTGAACCCCATTTTCCCTCTATAAATTCTTGCAAACTGGATCATGTGGTGTTCTATGTGATAATTGGGCAAGAGATATTATATGTGTGTTTAAGTGGTGAATTAGGATATTGTGAAAACTGTGGATATCATGTTAAATTAGAAGGTAGTTGTGTTAAGTTGTGGATTATTGTTGAACTGAGAATATTTTGTTGATATGTGAATATTCAGATCCTTGGATTTTGAGTTATGTTTGTGAGATTTATTGAGAATAAAACTTGTAAGTTTAATAAGTGGAAATGAAGGCATGATATGTTGAGATTTTGGTTTATTATGTTGCTGTTTGAACTGAACCTTTTAGCATTCTGATGGCCGAAATATTATGTTGTTATGTGCTGAATTTCGGTTTGTAAAACATGATTTTATTCGGTTAAACTTTGCGTAAGGTGAAGAGAATAGTTGAGGTGTGTATCTGCCTTGGTTAATGGTTATTTTTATCATGTTTTAAGGCTGAGGGTGTTAGATTCCATGCTGATTTTCGTGTTGATAGTATGTTTAAGTCTTAGTTTTGGAAAGCATGCTTAGTTGATAAATTGAAGGAAAAAGAGGCGCTATTTATTTTAATTATAATGAGTCGACTTGTGCTGAAAAATGTGTGGTTCCATGCAGAAATTTTGCTTAATTTCAGTTTTCAAAAGAGAGAAAAGGCATGAGTATACATGTTGTTTTGTTTGGGAAATATATGATTTATGGCATTGTTTAGAAAATTGTTGGATTATTAAGCGTTAGTATTTCGAAATTCTTTATGCTAAAAGTATGTGATCAAAATGCTATTATTTGCTGCAATCTGAGTTTATAGGATGCTTATATTTTTTTTATGTATTTATTTATTTATGGAAAGGAAAGAGAAGCATGTATATGTGATTAATTTGCCTTGGTTGTTCTGATACTTGGAGGTTGTTGCTATATTCATACTATGTGCTGATGATGTGCAAAATTTATGTTTTGTTTTGAGGACTTGATGAGATGCTTGAATTTTAATTTCAATTTTGAGAGTGACTCTGAAGCATGATTTAGTCTTGTCTTGAGATGATTTTTCTAAGTCCTTTTATTGGTTTATATGCTAAGTACATGCTTAAGTGGTAGAAGTGTGGAGCTTTAATTTCAGTTAATATGCATGTTTTAACTTGGTTGGAAAATGAGGAAAATTAAGGCTGTTTGGTTTAATTTGATACTTGAGATTTATATTGAGGTGAATGAATCGAGGAAATTTTCGTGTTAATTGGATCCTTGTTGTGTTCTAAGTGATAAATCCGGATCTTAAGTTTGTGAATGAACTAGCGTGACTAATTACGATATTTGGTATAATTCCGGAGTGGTGAGATAGTTTGTTGATGGAGATTATCTCGTTAAATTTTAGGTTCCTGAGGAGTCAAGCCCTCGAACCTACCATGACCATTTGCATAATTCTCTTTTCCGGTCGCCAGGTGGGTTTTATTTGAAATTGCTATGCCTTAATTAATTGTTTATTTTTGTGGTATGATCAATGTATGCATGTGGACCATGTAGCCTTCGATGTGAGCTATATTAGCCGTCGAACGGTTATCCCCGTAGCTATAGAACGTACCTTCGGGTAGTCTCCTTTATTATTGTTGGCAGTCAGGGCGTGAGCCTTGGCTGGTGATCCTCGTATGTAAGGCCAAGACGTAAGTTTTGGCATTCGGGGTGGATTATTGCTCTTGCTGGCCGGACACTCGTTGTAAGGCCTTCGATAAGGCGTTCGGTATAAAGTTCGGCAGTAGTCTATTGCTATAGGTGTGCACATGAGACTCATTATTGATTATTGATAGGAGATGGGACGGTTATTGATTCCTATACATGCTGCGACCATACTTAAATTGTTTCCAAGATTATTGATATTAACTATTGCATAGCGGTGAGCACCTCGACTTGCCTATTGTGCTCATCCCCACCTGCTCTTCATGGATGCAGGTTAGTGTTGCGGATACGGCGGAGGGATGCGAGTGGTGGTCTTAATAATTGATATTGCTTCCGCCTAGAACTGAATATTGCTATTACTGCTTTCTTTATTATTGATTACTGGATTATTGATAGGGAGTGTACTCCCTAGGATGATTTGATTATTGGATTGCGAAATTGAGTATTGATGATTGTTTAAGTATTGGTGAATGATTGAGTATTGAAAATTTGGTTAAGTATTGATAAACCGTTTGAAAAATGAGTAATGCCTCAAGTGTTTATTGAAATAAATTTGAAAAATTTATTCTGGTTTTCGGCAATTAAAAGTGGGGCGTTACAGCCGTGCCATGGCCCCAGCAGGCCCAGCACGGGACCGAGTTCACGATCCGGTTCAGCCTGACTCGGTTCAGTTAGTGAACCGGTGGTCCGACCCGATCCGATTCAGCCCGACCCGGTTCAGTTAGTGAGCGAACCGACCGATTTAGCCAGCGGTTCGAGTCAGTTTTGGTTCGTGATTTTCGGTCCGAGTTTTATTCAAAATTTTAAGTAATTTTATGAGCCAAACCAGATCAGTTAAGCGTATCAGTTTAATTTCCGGACTTAGAATTATTTTAGTGAACCCTTAGAGCGTTCCTTGATATCCGGATAAGTTATCTGATAGAGTAGAGCATCTTAGCATATTATTGAGCATATGACGAGCATAGTACTTAGTATATTTGTTTGCTTATATTTTTCTGTAGCTTGAGGAGTCAGCTACCAGCACAGCCGCACTTACACATTTTCAAAGCAGATCAGGTGGGGACCCAGTCTGGGTTATACATTGAGTATAATAGTCGATATCACGTTCAGGTATGTATATAGTTTTATCCGCTTGGGGTTAAGGCCAAGTTTGCCTTCCCTAAGTTCTGGTGGTGGCCCAGTTCGCCATAATTATACCATCAGAGTGCGTACACGGTTACCGGCCAGAGAGTTCGGGAGTTACCGGCCAGAGTGTTCCGGGAGTTTCAGTTTACTTATATATACCAGTTCTGTGATATCATTATTATTATTGTTGTTTACTTTAGAATGGGTTTTTATGGAGTACAAGTGGACCGTTCTCACCCCCACTTTATATTTTCAGATGGCAGGGTCGGCGGGCAGGCGTGAGTCCAGTTGTGGTGGTTGTGGTCGTGGAGATGGCACAACGAGCCGTTCTAGGGACATTTGTTATCATGTTTTGTATAACTAATATAACCACGCATTTTCAGACTTCCGCTATGCTTGCTTTTATTTCGAATTTGCATGACAATACCTTCAGACTTAAATAATTTATCCAGTTCGCCAGTACGAACGGGACCAGTTAAAATGCAAGATTCGATAAAAGATTTAAATCTGATTTTCTTAAAGTCTAAACCAGTTGATAGACCCAGTAAGGAAAACGGATTTCCAAAGCAAATAAGTTTTTAGCAGCATCCCGAGATAAGTTTTTGCAAAAGATTGCGAAAAATTTATAAGCGTCTTCGACGGTAGAATTTGCGAAAAATTGGCTCTAAGAAGCGGAGTGCTGCACGTTTGCTCTAACAAGAAGTATGTTGTTAGCTTTGTTATGGAATACTGGTGCATTTGGTCTCTTGAGAATGAGGTATTTATGATGATTTTTTATTCATGCATCATGAATATTGTGGGAAACTGAAAGTGCACAGCTATAAATTGTGGAAGTTTAAAAGTTAAAACAAGTCTAGTTACAGCGTAGGAGACTATACACTGCGGATTTCATGACATTAACATTTTGGGCAATGTACAAAGAATAAGCTACCAAGTATGCTCGAGTTAGTGGCAAAAAATAACATGAGATACTATGTTGTCTTATACTTTTGAAATTTTTTTGCCAGTAAAAATAGTTACATATGACTGTAAACAATTATACCAAATGTTAAGTATGTACATGACATTAGAAGGACAAAAGTTGTTTAGTGAACTACTTCATCTGCTCAATTGACTTGAAAAATCGAAATATTCGCAACATAAAAGTTTATAAATTTAAAAAATTAGTAAGTTAATTAAGTAGTTATTGAATACTATAAATAAAAAATGAAATATTATAAACTGTAAAATAATATTAATATATCGTTACAAACTAAAATGAGTAAATAAATAAAAAATGTTAAATAATATTTTGACTTATTTTTTTTATATAACAAACCATGCATTATAAAAATTAGAAATAACTTTTTAGATCTCACTACAAAAAAATGGGCACATTCCAACGGACAATTTCCGTTGGAATTTAGTATATTTTCCGTTGGAATAGATATTCCAACGGATAATCCTACAGATAAAAATCCGTGGGAAAAACGGTCGTCGGAATAGCTAAAATCCGACGGAAAGTCCTATGGAAATAAATTCCTACAGCCATTCCAACGGAAATTATCCGTTGGAATTTCTGAACTATTGAAATATTGTCCAACAGTTATTCCATCGTTTACTCCTATGGTCAATTAGCCGTTGGAATTGGTTCCAACAGCCATTCCAACGGAAAATGTCTGTTGGAATATTCCAATGATTCTTCCTGCGCATTTGACGAAAATGTGACAGAATTCCAACGGAAAAATACCGTTGGAATTCCGTAGGAATTTGCTCTTTATAAAATCATACATTTAGCACAAAATCATATATCCCCAATTTATAAAATAATTTATAAAATCTGAATAAAAGAATATAAAAAACTGATTAACCAATAAAAAAAGATATATTAACCAAGAAAAAAGAAAGACACAGTCATGCACAAAAGCAAATCACAAAACATTGATAAATCATCATCTCCAAAACATGCCATAATTATCTCCAAATTCAGTAACCTGATATTCTAATCATTCTAACAAAAGCATTAGTGACCTGATAAGCATCATTCTCCAAAACGTGTAAAATTTGCGACAAAAGTTAAGACATAAAATGAAAAGCTCCTAAATGCCGTCGTAATCATCTCCAAATTCTTCCTCAGCCCTACAATCATCGTCATGATTAGTGGGAGGCGCTGCTGAAGAAGACACCTCTTGATTAGTGTTGTGAAGTTT